TTATCTGCTCTGTGTAAACACAGCCTGCAGTTCAGCCCAGTTCAGCGGTAAAGTCTCTGAATTGTTATTACGTGAGTGTCACAGCTGAGTCACTAATGACTTTATGTTTGCAATAAGGAGACCACAATGTTTTGGTTGTAATGAAATCTGGTTTTTGCGAATCGTTTGGGGAATTTTTTTAATGAGATGAAATGAGAGTTGTTGCATAAAGTGATTTTGTTGTAATATCGGGATTTTAAACTGAAACTCTTTAAAAATTAAAAAACCAATAACGGTTTCTGTTTTATCAGTTTCTGGCTCCGATAAGTGGTGCAATTTTGATATTATTTATCTATTTTTTGTAATATAAGGTGCATTTCAAGCATTTAAATTGTGAAAAGTCAGTCGAGTCTAGATGTATCGCATCCACAGAGCACATAGATTTTTTTCAACTTTTGAATCAAGGTAGCACTCCCTCCCTCTCAAATATTTTTAATTAAGAGTAGGCAGCTAGTTTTAGCAAAAAACTGATGAACTCAATTCTGCCTAGAAGTACGTTACGTTGCTAAAGAGGCCTGTTATGTAGGAGTTTGTGAAGACCAAAACAGAGCTAGAGGAAAAGTGAATTCTACGTTTATGTTCATCTGGTGGCCAGAAAAGTAGAACTTCACTGAAATAATACTAATTCTTGTAGCTTGTCATAAAACCATCTAAATGCTTAAATAGTGTCAAGCATGTAGAGAAAAGGAATGTCTATCTAAGCATTACCTAACAGGATCAGCAGTAAAACCTGTGAGGATAGCTGAATGAACAAAGTTGTGCCTTTAACTGCTCGTGAGTCTTCAGGTTCTTTTATCAAGGAGAGAAAAAAACGTGTCACAGCCTGGCTTCATAAAAACAGCAAAGGACTGGGGGGTTGGATGTAAAACTGACAAAAGACAGTCATTGTGTACTTAACATGTGAATCAGTTAAAACATTGAGGTTACTGCATTAAAAGCATCCACATGTCCAAGAGTTCACTGGAAGTCTTGAATGTGAGTCACATTCCTATTTATGCAGCTGTTGCTTTGTTCCTGCTAATATGAATCAGAGAGCCAGAGCTCGCTCTGCAGACTCGTATTGAGTTCACAAACGAGCGCTCACAGTTTAAATAAAGACGCCCCGTTTGCTCCTCTCAGCCCATGAAGCCTCTGAAGGCCGCCGCGACGACGTCACAGCCGGTGCTCACTGTGGCCCAGATAGAAACCATCTTCTTCAAAGTGCCTGAGCTCTACGAGATCCACAAGGAGTTCTACGACGGACTTCTGCCCCGCGTCCAGCAGTGGAGCCACCACCAGAGAGTCGGGGACCTCTTCCAGAAACTGGTGAGGCTGGAATTTATTTACCTTTTTTGTGTGCAAAAAAAAAGAAAAAGATGACCTCAAAGGTTTGGGGTGTCCGTGGTGGTGGTGTGTTACTGTGTGCGCTTGTGTGCACCCGTGACAGCGGAAGCGCCCCCCGGGGGGGCAACTGCCTGACATTACCCCTAATCAAAGTGACAACATCGGGCACCCGAAAAAGTTGACAGCATTGGAAACGACACTCAGGGTCCGGCTACATTTCTGACCTGTGGACGCAGAGCCAGAGAGCCGGAGCGACATCATTCATACTAATGTTGTTTCTTCAATCAGGAGGCAGCGTTTGTTGGCTAGATTTGATAAAACAATAAAAAAAAAAAAACCAACAAGGACGGGATTTGATTTGTGCTTCTTTTATCATTTCAAATTGAATCAGAATCAACCCCTTTCTGTCTATTTCCGCCTAAACAGATGCTCGCTCTCTTTCCGTCCCGCAGTCGTTTGAGCCAAAGATGTCGGGGCCAAATGTACACTGGGCCTATTTAATCATTTTCACAATGGGTCAATTAACCCACAATGAATCATTTGTTAATTCTCTCCGAAATACTGCTCCTCTCCCACTGGTGTCTCCCTCACTCCCTCTCTCTCTCTCCTCCTCAGACTCACTTGTGCTCGAACACACACACACACACACACACACACACACACACACACACACTTGCACAGAAAGAGGTGCAGGCGTGTTTCACAATGCCGCCTTTTTGCTTCAGGCAGCTGAGGCCATCACAGAACTGTGCGCTTTGTGTCTCGAAGAAGCTGCTATAAATAGGAGCTTCTCTCTCTCTCACACACACTCTTACTCACACACTCACACACACACTCACACACACACACACACACTCTCTCTCTCTTTCTTATTAGCTTATCTCAGGAGGCTCACCCTTGAGACTCGGCTAAGAAATTAGGTTTTAATTTGTATTTTTTGCTGTCAGAGGCACAAAATCCAATTTTTTATCAAATGTTGGTAATTATCAAATTGTTTTACAGGTTTTTTTTTGTGTGCGTGTCTGCATTTGATTCCTTCCTCTCGGTCACATCGAGGCTCCCGTCCAACCAAACTCGCCCACAGTCGGTTCCGTAAAAGATGCGATGACATCATTCTGATGTGGGCAGTAAAGAAATATGGTGCGAGCGCAGTGATTGTCGGCTGAACGGGGAGTAACGCTGCACGGTTAGTCTGCTAGTGTGACATCGTAAAAAGAGAAGAAGAAAAAAAAACAATAGCACACCAGTAGAATAATGACTTCTCCAGCTGTCGGACCTGTAAATCTGCAGGGCAAGGTTGAGTAGAGGTGAAATCTGAAGAAGATTGCACCAAAATAAGAAATGCATACTTGTAGATCTTTAGATGGACATCGAAGGGGGACAGTGAAGGAAATCAGGTGAATACATTTAAATGGGGGACTCACTGCTGACGGCTCTTGCATGAGTTGGTACCCCAGAAATGCACGTTTTTAATTTTGCAACCTCAAATCAAGTTAAATTGGAAGCTGGAGCTGATATTTGCATATCCCAGCGCTGGTTTCTTTGTACATTTACACATTTTCTTTGTCTGGCTCAACCATTACGTCATCCAGGAAGAGATTTTTTTCCACTCTCTGTATTTACGCTTTGTCTATCAGTCTTTGTCGCCCTTACCTCATAAACCTACACGTCTGTCACACATTGATGCATTCACACACATGCTAGCCGAGGTTCTACCCCGCTCCATCCCTCTATCCAGACAGTAGGTAATGAAGGTCAGGGGGAGAAGACGCTGAGCCTACAAAAAGGGTTAAAAAAAAAAAACGGAGGGGGGAAAATGCTACATGACAGCCGCTCGGTTAGGAGGAGGAAGAGAGGGGGGAGATTAGATGGGAGTAGAGGAGGGTGATACAGACAAGGACTCAAGGGGGAGGAGGAGGAGGAGGGAGAAGGATAGGAAGTCAACTAGGCAAGTAGATTTAGGCCGCCGCAGCCGTGATGGAGCTGTCTTAGCATGACTCTGAAATCTGCAAGGGGAGCTTAGGAATCATAAAACATCAGAACAAGGACGACGGAGAGAAAAGAGGAAGAGGCAAAGCGTCAGTGACGGGTTGTGAGTGTCGGGGAGAAGTGTTTGAAGGCGGAAAATAGGGCGAAAATCACACTCGTGTTTCTGCTCCTCGTCAAGACACGATTCATGCACGGCGGCAAAGACAAAGACGGACGGACAAACTGACAAACTGCCTGGAAGACCAAAAAACACCTGACGGGACGTTGTTCTTTATAACTATTATCGTGGTTCAGGTTACATGATTGATCATGTGAGGATGATTAGAACTTGATCCACAGCATTTTACCTCAAAGTGTTCTGGTTTGTGACCATTTGCAAAAGAAATCACCCTTATGTACTATTCGCACTTGATTAGCATTACCTGGGGATCTCTGGTAATTTGTGAATTAGCCCCCCACGTCTGGGTTTCTTGCATTTACTCGGATTTACTGACATGGCGTCAAATCTGTGAATAACGGGCCTTCAGGGCGTTTGTATTAAGCCTGTTCAAAGATACGCCTAGAAAAATGTTTCTTACTGCAAGCTGCTATGCATGTCATCCATCTCAATGTCCTCCGAAGTATCCCTCTTCTTGTTGACCTGGTTTTGCCATTTCTGCAAATGGTCCATAGGCCTGTTGTGTGTAGGCCTACTCCTGAATTTGCACTGAAAATCCATCCATCCATTATCTATACACCTTAATCCTCACTAGGGTCATGGGGGGCTGGAGTCTATCCCAGCTGACTCAGGGTGAAGGCAGGTTCACCTGGACAGGTAACCAGTCTATCACAGGGCTACACTTAGAGACAGACAACCAAGCACACTCACATTCACACCTACGGACAATTTAGAATCACCAATTAACCTCCTCCTTAACGCTGCACGGAGAGAACATGCAAACTCCATGCAGAAAGATCCTGGGTGTCCTCACCGGGACGCGAACCGGCGACCTTCGGGCTGCGAGGCAACAGTGCTAACCACCCAGCCGCCTTGCACCTGTCAATAATTTCCACTGCAGCCTCCATAATGCAACTGGTAAAGAGGTAGAAAAAGGCGTGCAATAGATAAACAAAAACTAAAATACCCCCCAGTCACTGAGATGCAGATTCGCACGGGACTAGTATCACAGGCGAAACATGGTCGGTGATTTGCGGTGGAATTTTCACTTTAAAAATTACAGACAAGGCGCATTCACACGGGATTAAGATCACAGACATCCTCCGCAATTATTATAAATCACCACTGGTCCCAAGATAATCCCGTGCAAATAGGACCTTATTTTGTATTTAAAGCTCCTCAACAATTTGCTAAACTAAAATAAATACGATAGACTTTGTACCTACTAAAAATCAGCATGATATCATCGGCGTTGTGGGAACGTTGCACCACCGCGAAGCCCCGCACAGCTTCTATCATTTAGTCATAAATGCAACAAAAGCTCTGTAACTGTTCACATCAATTATATCGCCGTAGACTAAACAGTGCTTCTTCTCTTTGTAAGAAAATATCCTGAGTCCTCTCAGAGCGCCTCGCAAACCAAAACTAAATCCAGCCTTCTCGTTTAACGGCCCCAAACTCTGTCATGAGGCTGTTTTCTTAATGTTGTTTTCCGCTGTGGATTACACGCACATACTCTCGCACGGGACAAATCCCGAAGTGAGAAATCCGAACACCTAAGCAGTTTCTTTCATCACCCAAAGCCTTTTTTTTTTTTTTCTCCTCGCTCTGATACTGTGGCTGCAGTCGGTAAGCCTTCGTGCCGCCGTGTGTGGCTCCGTGGATGTGGCTGGCAGACATTCGGGCTCTCTGTTCTCGCCACAGTCGAACTGTCACGCTCTGAATGGCCTCTGCTGTGGTGCAGATTGTGTGGCCCAGGGCAGGACACAGGATTGCAGGATTATGAAAACTCGCTTTTTCCCTTCCTTACCTCCTTCTTTTCCTTGCTTCTTTCTGGTGTGCAAATGTGTGCAAAAGCGGCCTTTCGGGACGGTTCTGCCGCCTGGAATCCGTCGGCATGTCAGTCGAGGACAGTCGTTTGTTAACAAAGGAGGCGCTTATTTCAGGCCTGTGTTTGTTGTGTTTTCTCGGTGGCACATGACACGCAGACTCGAAGCCGTAGATGGTTTTTTTTTCTTTTTGCACACACAAAGAGAGATCTGTCACACATTGTAAATGCCAGCGGTAACAAAATAAGTGCAAGTGATGTTTAGAAAAAAAAAGAACAACTTGTGACTATACATTCCTGCCAGAATCGGTTTTCACACAACCAGCGATCGTGGGGGTCAGATTCTAAAAATAGGATGCGACAGGATGGATGAGTTTAGTCGGAGACGAGAATAGTTAGCGGCTCGCTTCTTTATTTGTAGAGGTTTGGGGTTAAAAGTCTAATTAGAAAACGCTCTACACGTGGCAACAGATTAAAAATGAACAGAAAAGTTAGATAGATAAAATACATTGAACCTCACCAAGTAAGAAAACAAAAAGTACTCAGTTTAACTTGTGACAGCAAGTTTATTCAGAACCTTAATGCATAAATCTAGTTTGGCTCTTGTCTCTGTGTCTTTTTGTCATCATTTCTATCAGCAGTAATTGTATTAGATTTAGTGACAGACTGATTTATCAACTGGCCGATTAATCAGGCCAATAAATCATTTTGAGAGTTGACTGAGTAGCAGGGGACTGGCGAACAGGGGTTATGTTCGGTTGAAAATCAAGTTCTTTACTTTGTTGGCATCTCCATATGCTGGTTTTTTATCTCCTCCTTGAAACCTCAGTGTACAGATAAAAAACATAGATTCAGACCTCTGTAGTTTCATTCATAAACAAATCTAAGAAATTAGTCCTGCTAACTTTCATGTTGGGGGTTTTCTTCTTCTTCCTCAGAATCAGTTGCTGGTTTGAACATGTATTTTTTGAATTACTCCAATAATACAACATGACATTGTGTAGCGTAAAGTAGTTTTGTAGGTGAGCTGGTGTGCTCGAGCTGCAGTGAGTGGCGAAGGGGTGAGTGGATAAGAATGACGAAGGCTTCAAAGATAGTTTTTTTTCTAAAGGAAGCAACCGTGTGGAGTTACCATGAAGCCATATAAAGGCAGGAAAAAACACTAAATATTTCATTTTGATGCACAGACATGAGGTTTTAAGGGTGTAATCACTGTCCAAAGAGTAATTTTAAGTCAAAAACCAGCAGGGAACTTGAGCGCAATAAGCCACAGTTTGAAACTACCTGCGGTACAGAGAGACTTAGTGTTTTAGTGTTAGTGAGCTATTATAATTTAACAGCAGTGCAGAGACGATGCAGATGCTCATTTAAGTTTTAGCAATTCTGTGTCTCGTTTATTCGTATTGTTATATTTTGTCTGATGCAAGAAAACAACAGCATGAAATCAGGGTTATGTATCAGCCATCGACCGCCCTGCTCTCTAAATGTCGGCATCGGTAACTTAAAAAACCCACATCAGGTGACTTTTAGAGATCCAATGATATAGCACCATTTAAAACACTTTGTCAGATCATCCTGACTTGTTTACGAATCGTCAGGTTAGCAGAAGGAAAACAGCAGAATTATTAGCCAAGCTTTCCACTGTTGTCATCCATCATACTTACTGTATGTGTTCACACAATGACTTCTTGGTTCAACTTTGACCGTCTTCACTTGTCATAATCGTGTGTTCATCGTCCTTCTACGCTGCTCTCACTTTACCTCCAGATAAACTCGCTGAATGGACGTAGCTGAGCCGACGTCTTGTTTGCAACCTTTCTAATCGCCTGCTCGCTTCTTCTCACAAGGCCGATCCCAGCAACAAGTGCTCACAGCTGATACAGATTGTGGTTAGAACCTTGAAAGTAAGACCCAGGTTGTAATAAACCTGAAGCGCCTGGAACGGACAAAAGGCATCCGTCCACATTACCGGAGCTCTGCACAGGCTCATGTGGGGCTAAAAGGTCTGAAATACAGCGAGGTGCTGGATGATAAGAGCATTAAAGGTAATAATTCATGCTCAGTGCACTCAGGTAAGAGGTGCTTCTGTGTATGGTTTTCCTTTTAGAGCTGGGTGAGAGTGTGCAGTCCACACAAAGCCCGTCTCCACTGTACTCTCTCCTCCGCTGGCTTTTGTTCACCAGAATTGATTGTCCTTTTGTTTGCCGCCGAGATGGATCGCAGCGCTGGCAGGCAACGTTCGCTGGAGTTTTATTCAGCCATCCAGCTTCCTAAATGTGCTTTCATAGCCTCCGTTACACCAGTCATTAATTACTCGCCCCGGCGCGGCGCAGGTCTCGCCGGTTGCCGGGGCAACGGGCTGCGAGGACCACCGTGGTTACGCGTTGTTGTCGTCTTTGCCTTCCTGGTTGTCTCGTTCGATTATCTGCGTGTCACATGGAGACTCTCAGACTCAGCTGCCTGAGCTTAATCTGTTTTCCTCAGCTGTGAAATTTCAGGGATCGTGCATCTGACTATAATGTCACTGGGGGGATTTTAAGGAAACTTTTTAGTTATATTTACTCTTTAAACTGATGGTTTGACAATAACAGGACAGACAAAGGTTTTTATAGTGACTGAGAAGTTTGGAGTCTGTTTGGGTTTGAGTTTGATTACTTTCACTCCTACAGTCCATCAACACTTGCTTAAACTTGGATGATTTCCTGTCGCTGGAGCAGAAATGTCTCTTTCTTTTCCTTGACATGCATTTTATGAAACTTCTCTTTTGAATATATGAAGACACTGAAATGAAAAACATCAACAAACATGATCTGAAGACGTACATGCAGAGTACTGCAGTTAAAACTCCTGTACTAATAAAATAAGATGAAAGTGAAATAACATTAAAGGTCCCATATATGGTTGATCCCAGCTTCACAAGCGAGAAAGAATTCAGCCCAGGTGCTACTTCACACCTAACTAACCAATAGTCATGCAGCTTGAACTGATGCAGAGGGCGTTTTCTTCTTGAATGGGGCAAAAACAGCAGCAGCAGCTTGTTGGTTTTTAGCATAGACTGTATAAAAGATGGACGTAGCTACCGTGACGTCACCCGTTGGTTTCTGCACTGAGAACATGAAGCCAGGGTTTTGCTACTTCCTGGTTGACATCTTGGATTTTTGGAGCCAGTGACGCAAAAATCGTTGGAGGGGGGCGGAGCCATAGGAGCAGCGATTGGTCAGACGGATTGAGAGGCGGGCCCTCTCTGCCCCGCCCACATTTACCGCCTTCTGCTCGCTTCATCTGTGTGGTCGTTGCCGACTGTCAATCAAGCCAGCCACGCCCCTTGCCCTGCAAAATGTGGACGATTTTTTAAACATTCAGTATTGATTTATTTTCAGATTGGCCACCTGATCTCTGGATTTGATTATGAAAACTAATAAGAAAAAAATCCTGAGCTGTAGGAATGCAGTATTTCTTGATCTGTGATCACTTCTTTTCCAATTCCAGTCTATGGGAGCCAGGGCTTTGTGGAGCCAGGACTAGCGGACGTAGTGATATTGCAGGTTTTTGACACTTCCGGGTTGGCTTCATTTTTCAGGGCCACTTGCTACGTCCATCTTTTATGCAGTTTATGGTTTTTAGACCAAAACAACCTGTTAAGAACAACTCTACAACCAGAGATTATACAGCCACGGTGAAGTGAACCATCTTTGCAGAATTTTGAGCTAAAAAACACACATGAAACTTTGATTAATTTGCTGAAAAAGGACACAATACGGAGCCTTTAAATTGGGGAAAACAGAGTCTTACTAGCAGTCGAATCGGTTCACCATTCCAGCTGTCATCTCTGTATTACACCACTCCAGGAAATTGTGACAGACGCTCAGAATTTTCCAAAACTTATTCAGTTAAATTTTATTTATATAGTGCTAATTCACAACATAAGACCTTACAATATTATATTACAGAGAGAAAACAAACAGAAATCCCTTCTAGCAAGCCCTTTGCCAACAGTGGAAAGAAAAAACTTCCTTTTGATGGCAAGAAACTGCCTCGACCGGTCGGGGTGAGAGGAGAGGGGAGATGGAGGGGCTTTTTTTATGTGTGTGAAACAGCTTATCTTTTGAAGAGCAAAGTAAAATGTCATTCCTTTCAGCCACTGAGAAATTCCACAGAATGTTTGTTTCTGCCTCAAGCAGGCGATGCACCATTTAGCCTCCAACAAACAAACACTTGAGCGGAGACACTTGGACTGTTTGAAGTATTCTGGGTAAATATTCAGAATCCATAGTTTGGGATTAAGAGGCACCTCCTCGCCGGTATCTGACAGAGCAGATCCAGCGACTGACACATATTTACGTACGTCTAATTAAAACGTAAACCTCACCGCCTTCCTCTGTTTCTGTTTCCCCTCCTCGCCACCAGGCCAGCCAGCTGGGAGTTTACCGGGCGTTTGTGGACAACTATGAGCTGGCGGTGGAGACGGCGGAGAAGTGCTGCCAGGCCAACACGCAGTTCGCTGAAATCTCTGAGGTAAGAAGGAAAAAAAAGGAGAGTGACCAGAAAATTCGCCGGTTGAAGTTTCGCTGTTTGTTCCGTTCTCTTTGATGTCCCGAGCAGTGCTGTATGTAATTAAAATAAAAACCAGTGCACGCTCAGCTGAGCATTCACCACATTACACTGAAATGTTTGTTAAGACCCCGTCATTTCTGGCTTTACGATAATACGCGAGTGTCAGATTGTATTTCCAACGTACGGTTTCAGATGGCAGTGGTTGATGACATTATTGCACAAAATGGCAAAGTTACGTCTGCAGGATGTTGACATAAACCGGTTGGTCTTCTGTAGCTCTGCACTTATTTATAATGTAAATCTCTACCTGGCTGCAACTGTTAGTTAGGTATTCAGTTTCTAAAGTAAAAATACTAATTCAGCATGTAGAAATACTCATTTACAAGTAAATATTACCTTCAAATTTACTGACATCTTCTATCCTTGGGTTAAATGTGACCCCAGTAATTTAAACCTCCAGAAAATATCAGAACTAAAATTGTTACCTAACTTTATGTATACATAGCCCTTTAAATAAAACTGAAAAAATATGTTAATGACTTATTTAGAGATGTTAAACATTTAATGGGGTCAAATTGACCCCAAACATAATAGGAGGGTTAAGTAGAATTTAGCAGGGACATGTAGTTAAAGTCCTGGTTTCACCCACCTGCCTGATTATTATTTATTACGTAAGACATTGTTGGATTGTTCACACTGAAGCATCAGTGTGTCAGCAGCACGTTGCTGTTGTAGCTGCTGCAGGTGGAGCTGCTTCAAACGACATATATACAGTTTTACATACACACATAAGGATTAATAGAAAAGGGAAGAGAAAAACAAAGTTGCAAAACAAACATGTTGCAAAATTTGAACATTTATTCAGGGAAAAGTCAATACTTAGTGAAGCTTCACTCATCCATCCATCCATCCATTATCTATACACCCAAATCCTATTCTAGTCTATCCCAGCTGACTCAGGGTGAAGGCAGGTTCACCTGGACAGGTAACCAGTCTATCACAGGGCTACACTTAGAGACAGACAACCAAGCACACTCACATTCACACCTACGGACAATTTAGAATCACCAATTAACCTCAGCATGTTACTGGACTGTGGGAGGAAGCCGGAGAACCTGGAGAGAACCCACGCTGCACGGGGAGAACATGGAGACTCCATGCAGAAAGATCCCGGGTGTCCTCACTGGGACATGAACTGAAGACCTTCTAGCTGCGAGGCGGCGATGCTAACCACTGATCCACCTTGCAGCCTGCTTTTCACTCACAGACATGTTAAATGTGACCTTGACTTCACTATTTTTTGTAAGACATCAGAAACCAAACAGGCTGGAAACCATTAATTTAATCTTAAAGAATGTTTTGTATTTGAAAAGTTTGCTATTTTATCCATTGTGTAAAATCTATACCTTAAAAGCTGTTAAATGAATACAGTGGAGTGAAAGCCTGAAGAAGCATGAAATGGAAATACTCCAGTAAAGTAAATGGACCTCGGTCCTTTCCACTCTTGGCCTCCTCAGCTGGACAGTTTGTGAGGAAAAACTCGCTCTTCCCTGGACTGAAAATGACTAACTTGCAGCGCAGTTTTAAATTATGCATTATTAGTGAAAAGAACTGTTTCTGAGAGGTGCTGAAGAGTCAGGAAAAATTTTCGCAGCTGCTTAATAGTTTTGTCCCTGACGTACTGTACTCGCAAAACACACTCCCATTATTCAGCCACACAGCTTTTATCATTTCCCTGCACTTAAATTTTAATGTTCTGCTGAACATTTCTATACAAACACAGCCAGAAGCAATTTGCTGTGTGTGTGTGTGCTCATGCATACATTATTGTTTGTCTGTTGAACGTTTGTGTACGTCATTTAAATGAAACAAAGCAGAGAACAGTGTGTGTTTTCTCTCAATGAGGCCTTGACTCGGTCTCAACCAGACTAAATGTGAGCCCACCTTCTACAGCCATGACAGTGCAACAGATTTAAACACTTTTCGTTTCCCTACACACGAGTGTCCAACCGGCTCTGAGCTTTTTCTTTTATGTCGGACAAGCTAGATGTGAAAAGGTTTGTGTTCATGCCTCAAATCTAGTTTTGGAGGCTGATATAACAAATCTGACCCTGGTTTAAACTAATCTGCATCCCCAGTAGTGTTGTATTCTGACATGGAGGGGAGCAGCGAGAGCGCTAACAGCATTACAGCGCTCCTCGTACGTTCTGAGATTTTCCTCTTTGTGCAGCAGCCACGTTAATGGCTTCAGATGCAGCCTCTTAAATCGAGAGTTGCGTGGGACTTCTTTAAAAACTGTACATTAAAAAAAGAGCAAATGTTCACCTCTCTATTAAACAGCTTTACATTAGCGGGATATAAAACACGAGCACGTCTGCCAAGCAGTCCGACGGCCAAGTCTCAGAGCCCCTATGCCGTTTCCTTCTCTTTTTTTCAAGCATGTGGCAGTTTCTGATACATCATCAGTCTTTGTCTATGTTTTATGAGGTCTAGCAGTCAGCGCTGAGGCTGGTATCTGCACGCGGGATGGGGAATTCATCATCCAGGGTTGTTAATGGCCTAAGTAATGATGCATGACTCTGAGCCATCTGAGCACGATGATGGGGGGAAAAGCTGCTGAGGATGGCATAATTAATTTGGAAGCGGATGACCTCAGAGCTCGAGCAAAGATAATATCCTCGCCGTGTTTTCAAGTCGCTGTTAATTGCACTGAACTGGGTTTTAAAGGTTTTTTTCTCAACGTTACTGTACCTGTGATTTACATCCAAACAGAATCTGAAGGTGAGGAGCCCGAAGGACTGCAAGGAGACTGCCAAGAACTCTCTGGAGGGTCAGTCATTTACTTTGTCCTATTAGAATATAATCTGAATGTACTGCCTGCAATATTTATTCAGTCATTTACACATTCGGTTTTATTTCTTTACAGCTTTACTGTACAAACCGGTGGACAGAGTGACGCGCAGCACGTTGGTGCTTCATGTAAGTAGAAGCAGAGATTGCAAGCTCAGCAATGCTCCTTAATAATGTCGCAAATTAGTTTCATTGTGTTTTAGAAATTGCCGTAATTACTGACAAATTAACCCAAGAAGACGTGACACAGAAAATCAAAGCAGTGCAGTTTGCCAAGAGTTTCAGACCAGAACATTTAATTTTTTGTTTTGTTTTTTTGAGGTATTTCTTTTGCACGCCAAGTACGACTGGATATTTTGCAGATTACTAATTCTATATAAATTACCTTTTTGCTTGCCTTTTGGTTGTGTGTATTTGTTTGTAGACAGTTTTCTGTCTTCTTGTACTAACGTAATGTTCATTTTGCGGTTGAGTGAAGCTGATTAAAGATCAAACCTTTACTGCAGGGAGTCTGGCTGTCTCTATATTTCATTTTAACATTTACTCTGCAGAGTCAGGGCCGAGTTTATTGCACCTATGAAAACGTAATAACCTTGAGCAACACTCCAAAAAGATGTCTGATTGTGTGATGCGTTTTTTTTTTTCGACTACTTTTTATGAATAGCACGGCTGAGCAGTTTGTAAACTTAATGCGCTGTGCTGTAACTGTTTAGTGCATAAACTTTGATGTATGTGATTTTGCTGAGATATTTTTACGTTTTTGCATCTTAATATTTCTGTGTTTCTCCCAGGACTTGCTGAAACACACGCCCACCAGCCACCCGGACCACCCGCTCCTGCAGGACGCCTTGAGAATCTCCCAAAACTTTCTGTCCAGCATCAACGAGGAGACGACGCCCAGGCGCCAGTCGATGACTGTCAAGAAGGGAGAGGTGAGTGTTCGGAGATGAAAAAAATATGCCCGTGACTGTTGGATACTGAACCCTGAGCAGCTTCTGGGCGTTTGTTTGCTTCTGTCACAATTTTTTTTTACTGCGTGTCTATGGAAACAGCAAAGTAAAGTTCGGGGGAGAAATCAGAAATGTGTTCTGTGCAGTATGACACAATAATAATGCTATAAATCATAAAAGAAAAGACACAAAGGTTGAATGGATTTAAATATTTATTGTAACACATTATTTTCAAAACTTGCAAAATGCACGTACAAAAGTTTTCCAGCATATATAGCATTTGATAAAAATGATGACTCTCTGTTTACTGTAGGTACTTAGATTGTTGCCTCCTATCTGCTCTGCATGAACACAGCCTGCAGTTCAGCCGAGTTCACCTGAACAGTCCCTGGACTTTTGTCATATGTCTGTTGGGTCATGTGCATCACTATCGGCTTACTAGCTGCAATGCAGAGCACAGAATTTTTCGTTTTTTTAATAGGATCTGGTGAAAGCAAACGGTTTATCGTTGGTGAATTTTTAAGTGACGCATGTAGAAAGAAGGGATTTTGATGAAATATTGTGATTTTAAGCTCAGATTTGGCTCATTATCTTGACTGAACTACATCTCATACGTGATGTTTTTAAGTCCTGTTTGAAAATTGAAAATCCAACATTTCTTCGTGTTTTTATAGTTTCTGGATGTGAAAAATTATGTAATCTGAGCAATGTTCTTAAAAGATAAGATTCCATTTAAACCAAGCGGCTGATTTTGGGGCTCAGAGCAATAAAACAGCTAATCTGCAGGATAATATTATTGCACTTTGCTGTTTAACACTACAACATCTTTATTGCATGTCATGCTGTAGCTCGAAATGCTTTTGTTTAAATCCGTATGTGACTCTTAGCTGCAGCCAACACTGATGCATCATTGCACAACTCATGCAGAAAAACCCCCAAAATTGTGATTACACCTTTAATAATAAAATCAAGCCAACTTTCACTTTCTGAAACTGAAAGAAACAGCTTTGACTTGTTCCTAACAATCAGTTTAATTTGATTTAATTGAAATTAAATGCGACCGAGCACTCTTGGCTTTTAAGTTGCTCACTCCAGCTCTGATGCACTTGGTTGTGCGTGATGATGTCATGACCCCGCCCTCTAAATAACCTTGAAGTCGGTGCCAAACGAGCGTACAGGGGCCGCCAATCTGCAGCCTAAAGCAGAGCCCATGTCCTTATATGGTCATGCCAGGATTGCCTTGTTGGAGCTGATTCTGTGTTTTGCTCCCCCCCAAACCCTCCAACACCTCCCCACCCCCCACCGCCTCCCTCCTCCCCGGAGATGACTTGCTGCACATGAATGGATGCCTCTTGATTGATAGCTTGCGTGACACTGCCGTACATAACGCCTCGTAATGAGCCGCCGGTCCGCTCTGACTGGCAGATTCCAGCTTAATTATTCATAAACCGAGGGAGGGAGGGAGCCGGTCGAAGAGGCTCCTCCCCCCGGCTCACAGGGGGGTCATTACCGCACCCTTTCACACACACACACTTTCTTCCTTATGTTTGCTTTTGAACACACACACACTCACACACACACACCTCCCTTAATGTCCCCGCAGGCCTCAGCTTCCATCTCGGTCCGTCCAGGCCTCCACACCAGTCATCAAATATTTATCGTGGATACATGAAAGCAGCACATGGAAATCAATGGGGCTCATTATATTGTACCTCACCATATATCGGGTGTATAATAGACTTTTTTTTTTTTTTGTCTGTGTTTCACTGAATGAGCTCAACATGTAAGAGTCAGTCATCAAAACGGTTAATTTCATCACTTGGTGGACAAGTTGAGAAGATGACGGTGCTTAAAAACAGACACGTAAGGATAATACTTTAGATGCGTTGATTATTTTTAAGTTAAGCTACACAAATACAGCCACAGTGTTGATTTGAACACGACTCGCAAGGAGCATATTTGCAAAACGGCACGACAGACTGTTTAAATCAGGTTATTTGCAATCTCCTCTAGTTATTCTGTTGTCGTGACGGTGATGAGAAGGAGCAAAAAACAATCCGATGGCTGCAGTGGAAATAGGCCACGGAGCTTTTTTCTGATCTGACCTGAAATCTAAAGAACCGAGGGAACGCTGGAGTGTCACTGTTGCCCTCCATGCGTGCACACTGGTGAGTAACCTGTGGTTTTGGTCAGTGGAGGCATGCAGCAGCAGCAGCAGCAGCAGCAGCAGAGCGGCGCAGGTGGCCCCCAGAGGCCCTGGCTCGGCCACAGGAGGGGAGGCGACAAACAAGACACCGCTTAATTAAAATGCAAATGATGGCGCTCATGTCCTCGCTCTGCTTTGTTTGCCTTTGGGAAAGATATGCTCCTGATGTGAGTGTTGCTCGTGGAAGTGTACACGCTCACTTTTTCTCTCCCCCCTATCATTACACACAAACATGTCCTCGTACAGGCCGCGCTGTGCAGAGGTGCCCCTTAAAGCCCATAATCTAAATATAGACCCGCGTCCTTTGTAAGATCCTGCCATTACTTTGCGCACATGCTCTCGGCGAGGCTTCTCCAGGAGATGGTCAATATTTAATCTGCGTTCTGTGCTGTCAGCGCGCTCGGCCTCGCGTCGCTCCGCCTGCCGACGTGCCGGTCAGCTATTATGAGAAACGGAGAAAGCTGCATTTCTCCTACTGGCTGTTAGTTGTTATGAAAATGTCATCTGATGCGCTGAGACAGCTGGTTTGTTAAGGATGTGTCTCTCCCTAGAAGCAGAGCGAAGCAGCAAAAGCCAGATTTGAAATTCATCAGTTTACTGATTTAGAAATGAGCCTTCGCTGGACTTTGTCTGCATCCAGAGATTAAACAATGAACTGAACAAGAACAAAGGTGCGTTCGGTCTGTCAAGCCATCAGTCATTGGTATGAATAAAACGTACTCGTGAGAGCAGCGTTTTTTGGTCTGTTACCTGTATTAATGTAATCCATCCTTTAATGTTCTCTCTTTATCATGAGATCAATGGAGGAGAGGATCACCACGGAGGCCTGATGGGTAGTGGGGTTCTCCAGTGGTGTCCATCTCAAGTCTGGTTCAGCTACTCCACTGTTCAGACAAATCTAGTAGTTCTTGTATTTGCATTAATCAGCATTCCTGAGGTTCTTTCTGGACAGTAATCCAGCCTAATCTGCTGCTAGTGATCCAATCAGTGATCTAGTCTACTGTAGGAATTTGCTGAGGTCATCTAAATAGGTTTTGTTGTTGAATCCACATAACGATGTACAAAACCTCTGGTGCTGATTTCCTAAACAGTGGTGTATCTGGCCATCATTCCTACTCCCAGTTAATCCAAAAATTAGCAAGAAAGTGAACCGTGGAGGCCATGAAAACATCTCAGCTGTCCAATAAATGCACCCAGCTATCCCTCACAATGACCACACTCTTAATTATGCATAACTTTAAGCTTTAATACAATATAAACAGATGAGTTATTTTAAAATCCCCCCACTGTACCGTTATTATGAATGGAGGAATTAACTATAGAGACCAAAAGCGGTTTTTGCACAAGGCTGGAAATATGTTTAATATCAGCTGTAAAGTTGAACATTTTAACATCTGTGGGGATTGACTCACTTTTGGACGCAGCCTCAAGTGGCCACTCGAGGGAACTGCAGTTTTGTGTTGACACTTAGTCGAATCGCACTCTTTCCACAAGACTGGAAGCTGTAGATTTTACATTAAGCCTTTCTGAGTTGTGCTGTCCAGGAATAGAGCAGCCGTGAGGAATCCGGCTATATAAGCGTATTCGTTTTGTGTTCTTTCTAATTGATTTGCACAGAAAAAATAAGTTAAACTAAAAGACACCAGCTGAGCATGTGAGATTTTCTTATAAGTTTTGCTTAAAAATGTGGCTTAAACAGTTAAATGACACTTGGTATAGAAAATTAGAATAGACTCATTGTAAATTTTGATATATTTAGAACTGGATAACACACTTTATTTTAAAATATGACATAAGGCGAGGAATCATAAGCAAGAAAACGTGGTTCTGATTTATTTCATTTATTGGATTTCATCTCTATATAGTCTGATGTCATTGGCACTGGATTAAATGTCTGTGAAATCATCCTATAAGCGTCCTATAAAGACCAGGCCGATGGTGCGCTGCTGCATTTATAGATTCGTATTATAGTTGACGCTCCACGATGGCTTCACTCCACAGCGTAGAATCTGAGTAATACGGCAAAACCAAAGCAGCAGTGTGACTGATGTCTCTTTCAAACTACTGTACGCTACACATCCTAAATATAGACTGAGCATGACAGCATGTAGATTGACAGAGGTAAGACAAGATGGAGTTTGATTCATATCCGTGTTGGGAAATATCCTCAGGGGGCTTTTACTACATGTGGAGTGACTTCATGATGTGCCATTCCCATGACATCAAAGTTCTCTGCACAGAAAAATGTGGACGCAAAGCGACGTGCATGTGCAGTAATTGCTTACAAGACACAGTCATTATTAGGAAAATACATCCAGAAGGTCGGGAAGAGGACAGAAAATGAGTGTTTTTCAGGAATCTCGTCCTCCTTTAGCGAGCGGACTGACAGATGCAGGTGACAGTTGCCGCTGGAAACATCCGACAGAACGCAGCTCATCCGGAAGTTTTCCATCACGGGCCGTCATCGTCACTGTCTCCTAGAGATGAATAATTACAGCGACGAGTGGGAATTAGGTTTCTATTAGATCCTTATTTCGGGGATCAGATTGTAATCTGCTGGTTGGATCTCTGCATGAAGAGGTGCCTGAAGAGCTGCAGTGGAGCTGTCACATGGTTCAGTGTCTATCTACAGTAACAAACCGCAGTGTGACATCTGCTCTCCTCTGTCTCTCCAGCTCCTTCGCCTCGGCTCTCTCCGTCCTCTCTCAGCTTTTTCCTTTTTGCACGCATTTAGACGTCCTCTTCTCTTCCCTCCCTGACACTTTCTTGCACCACTCTTTCTCCGCAATGCTCCCCAATTTCTCTCTTTGTCGTCCTTTCTTCACCATCGCCATCATCCACGAGCGCTGAGTGACACAGCGTGATGCTTTCCAAGCAGATGTACATTCAGGTTTTGAAAGAAAACTTCTGGCAGTGATAGTGTGTGTTCATGGAGGGGTGTATAGGAAGTGGGTCCTGGTTATACATAAAGCCAAGATGCCCTGTGGAGAAAAATATACTTTATTTATGACGCGAAATCAGCATTAAAAGCTCCTAGAAGAAAGATGTTTTTTGGGTTGGAGAGAAGCAAACGATGGACTGTAAAAATCTTGATTTCTTGGTGGTGTAGTACCTCAGCTGCCATTGTTCTTGCTTTTATTAGAAGGAAACCTGCTCTTTAAGTGTTGTCAGCATGCAGCACTCACTTCCAATTTGCTGCTGTCTATATGTTAGATTGCCAAAATCTTATCCCAATAATTGTGTTTGTAATTAACACAAAACATCAGCAAATTACCCTAAAATGAAGTCATCATTTTTGACATTTGAAAATTGCTGGCACAGATCACAGTGTGTGCAGTCAATCGAACATGACTCTTCGTCTCATTTTTACGACGATCTTCTCCGGCGTAACAGTTTTAATCCCCCGAACCACAAGTAAAACCAACGTTATGAGCGTGTGAAAGTGAGCCATTTACTATTGAGCTGTGGTTTGACATTTGCTCTGTTTTGTTCTTGCAAATGCATTTCCCTCTTTAGAAAATGACATCACTGCCCCCTTTTGGCCGACGACGGCATTACGCGTCTCATTACATAGTCTGACATCAGTCCAGAGCTCCCTTCCTTTTTTTTTTTTCCTCGCTGCTACTCATTCATTCCTTTGTGACGCGCAAATTGGCGATTATGCCACATCCAGAGCATAAAAAGGGCAATCAGTATGATAAATATAGTTTAGCGCCAATCACTCCGCAGTTTTCAGTAATTATTTAGTTAATTATTGGTGCGCATTAGGAGGTTGCACATAGGAAGTGAGTCAGTTGGAGTTTTTTTTTTTTGATGCAGTGTTCCTCACTTCCTTCTCTCCTCCACTCCTTCCTTTTCCTTGCATCCTCTAAATTTTTTTTTTTGCAATTTTGGGAGAGAAATGGATGCAGCTCCAACAACTGTCCCAAAAATATACCTGTGACTCTATTATACGCCACCAAGATGTTTATATGACACAAGAATTTCTTTTTTAAATGTTTGCATGTCACTGATTCCCTTCCAGTGCACATCCCTCCAACTGGAATCATTGAGTCCAGCTGTTTAGTTGTCAGCATCCAGAGCTTTGTGTTACTGACCCGCCGCCGCCGTTGTCGTCTTTCCACAGAACCGGCAGCTGCTGAGGGACAGCTTCATGGTGGAGCTGGTGGAGGGAGCCAGAAAGCTGCGGCACGTCTTCCTCTTTACCGATCTGCTGCTCTGCGCCAAGCTGAAGAAACAGATCGGAGGGTAAGAAGCGTCTGGTTTGTTTTTTTTCACACCTCATCCGTCCTAAAGTTAGACTGACTGTAACAGTGAATAGTAATCAGGTTGTGCAGGAGACACGCTGGATACCTCGAAATCTGACAGAGTGGAATGAACTATGTGGAAAAATGACATTTATTTCTTCAGGTGAGATCATTTTTAGTGTCAGATCTATGAGGCCTGAGTTGCAAAACTTAATGTACAGCCAATGAAGCCATAACATACAAAAAAAAGGACATTTTTTCTTGTGCACATAGCTTTTTTTTCTAGTTTAAGTTTAAAATTAAGCTCATTTTTGCTGGATATGTGTCGTGTTCTCTACCACACAGGATATAGGTCGTCACATAATCAGTGTATCTTGTGTTTTTTTATCCTGCATGAATATATTTCTTAACACTTATTGCACTTTTGCTAAAAATATACATGTTTGAACAATGAGTCATCACCAGGAGAAAGTTCAGTCATTTCACATCATCGTAGAACTAGTTGTCCTGTTGTTGTTTTTATCGCTAATAAACATGTTGACCTACTTTTCTCTGTCTTCCGATGACAGTAAAGATTTGTTGTTTAATTTTTTTCTCTCCCTGCTTTTCTATTTTCTTCCCTCTCTGCCGTCTTCTCCTCTTCATCATTCCACCTCCTCCTTCATGCTGCTATTTTTACTCTCCTTTCACCGTCCGTCCCCTCTTGATTTTTTTTCCTGCTCCCGTCCCGCCGCAGTAAAAACCAGCAGTACGACAGTAAGTGGTACATCCCCCTGACTGACCTGACCTTCCAGGGCCCCGAAGAGACCGAGCCGCTCACCATCCCTCAAGTCCCGGACGAAGAGCTCGACGCCATGAAGGTCAAGATCTCGCACCTCCGCAGTGAGATCCAGAGAGAGAAGGTGAAGATGCGCTAATCCAGATTTACACACACATGTATTCAGAAGCAGATGTCGCTGAAATCTGTTTACATTATAATGATGATCCTCTTATTTAATTAAGCTGAAACCTAACGATGTTTAACAAGTTCTAAGTTTGCTTCTCTCTGCGGTTTCAGAGAGCCAACAAGGGTTCAAAAGTCATCGATCGCCTCAGGAAGAAGCTTTCCGAACAGGAGTCTCTGCTGCTGTTGACGTCTCCGAGCATGCCCCTCAGACTCTACAACAAGAACGGAAAGGTGACGACACCCTCCATCTTAAACCTGTTTCTTCAGCCTCTTTTCTGCTCCATCATCCTTCCCTGTGCGCTCCACTTCCTCACATCTCCACATATTTCACTGCTTTTCTTTCGCTGCATTCCCAGCACACTATCCCCTCCCTGAACCTCTTTAAGATTAATTCCCTTTTGATCTGTCTCAAACTCTGACTTTCTTGCATCAGTGTGGAGCAACCGCGGTCTGATATCTTGCAGCTGTTAAAGCTGGCTGAGCAACAGTACATGAATGCCGACTTTAAACTTGGAGTGTGTGTAATCGCAGATATTTGTCCTTTTTTTTTTTAATTTTATTTTTGAGCCCGCTTCTCTTTAACTCTTTCTGTGTGTTTCAGAGTTACGGTTTCCTGATTTCATCGGATTACGAACGTGCAGAGTGGAAGGAGATCATCAAGGAACAGCAGAAGAAATGTAAGAGTCCCATGTTCTGTCCAATCCAGCTCAAGCTTTTTAGTTTTAATCATGGAAAACATAAATCGATGCACTTACATGAACTTTAGATGTTACTAATCCCTTAACTTTGAAAGGAGAAGCCAATACTTTGCCCTAAAACAGAGAAAACACACATTTAAATCATACACATGGTCTGTTTGAGCGTCATTTACAGTCTAAATGTTTTGTCCTTCCTCAAGGTTTTAAAACTTCCTCGCTGACTTCCATGGAGCTGCAGATGTTGACCAGTTCTTGTGTCAAACTGCAAACTGTCCACCACATTCCGCTTAGCATCAATAAAGAAGGTAAGCTGCTAATGTTCAGAGTTAAAAGCTGTTTTTAACCTCTGACCCCAAACAGTTTCTGGGAATTTTACTGCTCTTGTCTCATTGCTTCTCACTGCAGGATGCAATATAAAGTCATGCTATAGATGTTTTACTAGGTTTATTATCCTTATAATTGTTTTAATACTTTGCTCCTGTCTGTTCTGTGTCACCACATCCTGCAGTTCAGCCCAAAACTCCCTGAATTTTGTCACAGGACTGTTGGTTGAAGCTAAGTTGCTAATGGCTGCACAGTTGCACCACAGAGCGCAGAATTTTTTGTTTTTTTCAGAATTTTGTGAGAGCAAACGGTTTGTTTTGAGGTCAGTTTTAAATGAGACGTGTAGAATAAAATGTTTTTTTAAGAAATATCACAATTTCCCAACAGCAGAAAGTGGAAAACCTGACGTTTCTTTCTGTTTCCAGAGTTTCTGGCTCTAATAAATGGTATAATATCACGTCTTGCACGTATTTTACAAGATAAAACTGTCTTTTTCATATTAATTTAAAGTCTTGCGGGGGAAAAATAAATTCTGCTGTGTACCATCATAAGGCTTTTGGGACCCTGTATACGGACATGTGGTTATATTTTCATACTTTCTTGATTTCATGCTCTGTCTGTGTGCACAGCAGCTCCGTTTCAAACCATAAAATTCCCCCCCGGAAAAAAAAAAACTGTCCTGGAATGAAACAATAATGATTAATAATTGTGGCGTGTAGAAGTAGACGTGGGTTCAAGCCACATGTTTTCTACAGTACAGGGCTGTTTTATCTCTTCCTTCCATGTGTGATTCTGCTCCAAAACAAACACACATCTGCATGCTTTTCTAATCCCTCCTCGCTGTCTTTTTTTCTCTCTGACTGTTTTTCCAGAGGATGAATCCCCCGGTCTCTACGGGTTCCTGAATGTAATCGTCCACTCTGCCTCCGGCCTCAAACAGAGTTTGAGTGAGTCAGTCGCTTTCAGCCTTCACGCAGACAAACAGAGAACGCACATAATCACACGACACGAGTTACTAAGACGGCTCAGCTTTAATGTGATCATGCATCAGCGGAGTTATAGGTTGAACTTTTAGCACTTAATTGGCAATAACTAGAACTGTTTAACTTGAAATAAATGGATTCGATTTGTTTTCTGAGGATGCTTTCAAACATTTCGCCTGTTTTCTGCTAATGTAATACTTCACAAAGAACCTTTAAGGGGCCCAGTAAATGTCATTTCTTTCTCTATCAGATCTCTACTGCACATTGGAGGTGGATTCCTTTGGCTTCTTTTCAAATAAAGCCAAGACGAGAGTGTATCGATACACCACTGAACCCAAATGGAATGAGGTAAAAGATATGTTGCTCTACATATTTCCAGCTGGAATAAAAGATTCCTGCAGAGTTGCTATTACCGGTGGGGGTCATATAGTTGTTGATGTTAAATATTTGACATTTTTAACAATTTACTGAACTATATATAACCAACTCATGCACAGATTTGTCTGCAAAACTATTTTATCAAAGTTGCTCAACACTGGAAAAAAAAAACGGTGTGTTTATTTTCCTTCCACTCAGGAAGACATACCTGAACACATTTCCTCTTTGGCACGGTTCACGCTGCCTGTCATGTATCTGACATCTGGTCTGTTAATCAGTTAACTGTCCGTCTCTGAGTGGTGAAAATAATGTCTCACCAAAGAACATCTGCAACCCCTGCAAACATGTAACAAACACGCGTGTGCATAAGGTAAGGCGCACGTACAAAACCGTGTATGCAAAAAAAAGAAAGAGGACACAGCTGGAGTATCGGTTCATCCGCGGTACAGTATTTTCCACAGCGGACCCGAAGACTCTTTGAGGATTTTGCTCAGCAAAGTGGAAATAATATTAACTAACGAGGAGCTGCTGGTGATGACTCACATCTGTCCAAAAGCTAAGTGAACCAGCACAGTGTGGGCCTCCGAACGATGTGCAAACCATATGCAGAGTGCTGTCTTACGTAACAGCAGAGAAAGTTGGTCGGCTGTGTGTTGCAGTGGGATGTATGGATGGAAATACGAGGGGATGCAGACTTCTTTGTGAAGGTATCATCCCTTCGTTTGTGCCACTGTGCTCGGATATTTTTTCCCCACCTTTTTCTCTGCCACATAATCTTCCAACAACTATTTTCATGTCTTCTTTCTTTTCTTTCTTTCCCGAAGGAGTTTGAGATTGAGCTGGAGGGCTCTCAGACCCTGAGGCTGCTCTGCTACGAGAAGTGCTACAACAAGACCAAGCAGAACAAAGAGGATGGAGAGAGCACAGACCGCATCATGGGGAAAGGACAGATCCCGGTATGACATGACGTCACCCCCTCCCCCCTTTTTTTCACCAGACCCACCGTGACTCATTACTGATAGACGATTATGTCACCATCAGTGCCACAAATCTATTTAAGTGACTTAGGTTGTCCATGATGTCGCGACTGGCTGATGGTATCCATTACCTGAGTGTGTGGTGGAAGGGTCGAGGTTGGTTAAACGCTGCTTTATGTCGGTGAGCGCAATTTCAATATCAAAGAGTGGCGATACGTCAACCTGAGAGGATGTGTAGCGTCTTAATAGAATGACTCAAAGCTCTTAATTCTCGTCTCACTGATCCATCATCGCGCCGCCAGGTTGGGTTGTTTAACATATCCCTCACAATCCTGCACAGGTGGAAATGACATCGACGCTGTGATGTGGCCGTGAGTCTGACTGATCGTGGGTTTAGACAGCCGCTGATTAGGTTGCCAAGACAACAGCAGCCTGCAGGATGAAGCCAAGTGTCACTCGTGAGATCAGCAGAGAGAAAGATACCAAAAAAAAAACTATGATTGTCTACTTCAATCTGCTAAAAAATCCCTCTTCTTTTACTTCTCCACCCACAGCAGGGCAGATGTGCACATGATTGGACTATATTCTGCACAAGTTAGCGTCTAAAAGATGTGTCGCAGCTTCTTTTTTCTGAAATAAAAGCAAGAAAACTACAAAATCAGGATAATATAACAGCCGGTGCAACATTTTCTCTAAGCACACTGAATGTCTAACAGCAGCAGTGTTCATTCTGAGCGATCCGTATCATCATCTGTTTTGGTCAAATACCAGGAAATCTACCTACACAAGTCTCCCGTGCTGTCTAGCAAACAGTGGCTTACAGTCACATGCTCCATCTAGTGGCTCCTCCGGTAATCCTGAGACATGATCCCCTCTTGACAGATGATGTCATTGAAAACAAGCCGCCTGGGTGGTGTGAAAGTTGCTCAGCAGGATTTTCACAAATCCCAGACAAGAAGCTGCCACTCCTGTCTTCGGCACAAGTCGCGGCGGCTGATTAATCTCACGTTTCACTCTGCAGTTTGAGTGGTTGGAGCAGAAAAAGACGGCTGTTTACCCGCCAGAGCGGCTGATGCTGACGAGTGATGCTAAGACGTTGGTTTTAATTAGGTTTCTTTGGGTTTATTCTCCGCTTTGTGGGCTTGTTGTCGACTCGTTTAAGCATTGTGGTTGCCTTTTTTTAGTAGCGGCTTTTGCTGACGACATCAGTTTATCCTCATCCTTGCATCATCTCAGATGTTCCCACATTTGTATCTATTACCAGAGCAGTTTAAATTGGAAAAAGATTGTACTCAGTATAATAGAAAGGCAGTCGGTCTCTGCGAAACCGCAGAAAAGCGTTAAACAATCCTGCAGCTTAAGACAAAAAGACCGACTGAGCTCACAATTAAAGGTCACTGTGGCACTTAAAGCACACAAATGTCAACATATTATATTTTACATGCATTCAAAGCATGTTTTTACAGCATCTTTTCCATGATTTCATCCCTTTAACTCACTTTTATACGTTAGTCCCTTTGTTTCTTTAACGTACACATCCTCCTAAATCTTATATTCTTTTATTTACCACACTAACAACTTGCATTTATGTGCAGTCCTGTATGCACCCTGTCTCCGTCTGAATGTGCTGTAAAAAGACTTTAAATTTTTACAAAGCATCTTAGAACTGTTGGCTTCATTCCAGCATTTAATAGGCTTTTGTTTTACAGATGTGTGATTTATTGGAAAATTCTGCGTCGTTAAACAACACAGGCCTCTGCTAAAAGTCCAGAGGAGATAAAATCATATCTGCTGCCTTAATATGTGATTTTTGTTCTTTAACAGGAAGCTGGAGAAGCTCCTACAGCTTCACTGTTTTTTAGTGGAATGTAATAATTCGTTATAGATAAATTTTCTCAAGCCGCAGAGCGCTCTCGGCAGCGAAAGATTCAGTTATGAGAAACATGATCGGGGTTTACAGGCAACCAGATGGGGCTCAGGCTCGGTAAACATACAACATACAGTATTCTGTGTCTGTTTGTTTGTCAGTCGTGTGTGTGTGTGTCTCCGTGCTCGGCTTTTATTGGCCCAGATGGCTCGGCTCTTCAGATCCGAGTGTGTTTGGGTGTGAGTTTAGTCTCTCTGAATAAATTATGTTTGTTTATCGCGTTTCTAAAAATACAGTAAAAGGATGCAACGTACCAGCAGCACCTTTTGAAAACGTTCTGCTGCGGCGGAGGGAAGATTAGCACAGTTGTAACTTTGGGCTCCGCTGTCAGAACCCAACAAGTACGTAAGTAGGACAACTGCACGTAGGGATAATTTAATCTTAACAAAGCAAATAAGCATTAAACATCCTCCAAGCCGCAGCGGATTATGAGGGAAAATGTTTCTTCATTCATATAATATAAACAGTTCTTTGATCTACTGAGATCTCAGTTTGTACAGATTCTTGTGCCGTTTGCTCATGGCCCATAAACTTTATAAATTCCAGCTTTTTGTGCGTAACCTCCAAACAAACAGGCCGACGAGTCGGCAAAAGCACCAATTACAGCAGCGTGGGAATGCTTCATTACACGTGAATACATGCAAAACCCTTATTAAGTAAAAATACATATAATCAGCTTTAGTGCCACAGTAGTGCATCAGCAGTCAGGTGTCTCTGTGGCTGACGGGTTGTTATATGTGTCAGTGTTAGATTGTTAATGCTGCATCAGTGCACAGTCAGACTTTTACTGCTGAAATTACAGTTCGCTTGGTTTCCAGTGGTTCCCAATTTGTGGTTCGGGGCCCCTCGGAAAGATCACAAGATGAATCCGAGGAGATGAATAATGAAAGAGGGAAGAAGGAAAGTTTGGGTTTTTTTTGTTTATGAAATAACGAACAATTATAACAGTTATTGAAGTGAAGAAGTTTTAAGGGGGAATGAATCTCAACTGAGGGCTGCAAGGTGGAGCGGTGGTTAGCACCGTCGCCTCACAGCTAGAAGGTCGCCGGTTCGCGTCCCGGTGAGGACACCTGGGATCTTTCTGCGTGGAGTCTCCATGTTCTCCCCGTGCAGCGTGGGTTCTCTCCGGGTTCTCCAGCTTCCTCCCACAAGGTCCAAACATGCTGAGGTTAATTGGTGATTGTAAATTGTCCGTAGGTGTGAATGTGAGTGTGCTTGGTTGTCTGTCTCTAAGTGTAGCCCTGTGATAGACTGGTTACCTGTCCAGGTGAACCTGCCTTCACCCTGAGTCAGCTGGGATAGACTCCAGCCCCCCATGACCCTAGTGAGGATTAAGGTGTAGAGATGATGGATGGATGGATGAATCTCAACTGCCTGAAATGTGACAACCACACCCAACTGCACACTTTTTTTTTTTTAAATCAGAGGTCACAAACCAACAACGAAAACACTGGCTTAATATTGAAGAAAGAGTTTTGTGCTGTTAAAATGTCATAATTAAAATAGAAGGTAATTTGTGGACGTCTAAAAAGGAACGTTTCCCTCTGAAATGTGATGTAGTGCAAGTAGAAAGTAGCAGAAAATGGAAGTTTTTCAACTAGAATTATGCAAAAGTGTAGTACTTGAGCAATGTACTTAGTTACTTTCCACCACTGTAAATGGGGAACATGTCAGCTTACTCACATTTTCCCCCAGTAGGCATCCATCAAGGTGCAGATGTAATGATTTAGACCAAACTAAATGTAAGCGGTTTGTGAAAACGCAGTGCTAATATGCATCGTGTGTTCATGTTGCCAGCTTGACCCTCAGACGCTCCAAGGAAAAGACTGGCAGAGAACCGTTATTCCCATGAACGGGGTGAGTACATCACATTAATCCCACAGTTATTCTACTTTTTTGTCTCTACTTCCTCACTTCTCTGTTAGAAAGTAGTCAAATCTGATCTTTATCTGCGCTAAAAACTCATATAAGGTGTCACCGTGAGCTCCAGTAACACTTTTACATTTATACCGTAGTACCACAGCGCTGAGGGATAATCTAAACAGTTCCTCCAGGATGTGGTTTAGCAGTTTAAGTCTACATCTGGTTTAAGCATGGCGGGATTTCCTCCAGATCGCGGAACGCTATCGCAGATGGATTTTTCAGGCTTGTGTGGCGGCTTCTCGCCTCCGTGAACTCGTTTTTTTTTTTTGACTCTGAGCTCTTTTTTTTCCTGTGTCAGATCGAGGTGAAGCTGTCCATGAAGTTCACCAGCAGAGAGTTCAGCCTGAAGAGGATGCCCTCGCGGAAACCCATGGGAGTGTTCGGAGTCAAGATCTCCACCGTCACCAAGTGAGTTGATGTTAAAATAAAGAAAGAATAATCATGTGGCCACGTGTGCTATTCATGATTTTGTTGGTCTGTTATCTTCTGTGTTCTCCAGTTTCTCAGGGCCTCCACTTCTCTCATGCATCTCCTTGTTTCTTCACTCACATCCCACAATGTTACACTCATGGTTAACTGTTTTCCCACCATGTTACTGTTCTTGGATTGGCCCAAATGTTTAAGAAGTCACCACATTTATCTGGTTGGATGGATCCACTTGAGGACTGTATCCCTTTTTAAAATCCTCACTGTTACTCGTTCATCAGCGTTAACGAATCCACATGATCTTCTGTGCAGACGACGACAGTTTTATCCTAAACTGAAGCATCATCCAGAACTTATGTTTTATGCCATTGAACAGTGAATGTTTAGCCATGTTAGTGCTTTGAGCTAAATGCTAATCTTGGTAGCAACAGATTACATGTTGTGTGAATTGTGTAATCAAAAATAAGTAACTACAATCAGCCTGGACTGTGTATGAAGAAATGTGAAATTAGGTCATAGGTACATTGTCAAAGATTGGTTAAAAAGTAATTGATGTACAGGTTTTGCAGAGCTAAAAATAACTAGTTTTGAGTAAATTGGCTTCCATGTGTTGGAATAAGCTCAACTTTAAATCATCGTGAACACTTTGTTGCTCCAATTTCTTCAATCAAAGGAGCTGAAAGGACAAAGGAGGGGGACAGTCAGGAGGGAAAGAGCTTGCAGATGCATCGGTGTGTTGCATGTTTGCAGCCGTCGTTGCTGATGAGTGACACTAATGAGGTTTTAAAGATAGCAAGTAGGTTAACTAGAATTACCAAAAAAATCAATTAGCAGTGTAGGTAAAACATTTTAACAGAAACACAAAGAAGCAGAGTCCTTCCTGTACTAAAAACAATGCAGAACACACATTTAGCAGCCTGTAGATTATATTTGCATTATTGATAAAACAGTTTTTTGGCAATGAATCAATGCTTTTTGCTGTCGTCCAGGCGAGAGCGCTCCAAGGTGCCCTACATTGTCCGGCAGTGCCTGGAGGAGATTGAAAGGAGGGGCATGGAGGAGGTGGGCATCTACCGAGTGTCGGGGGTGGCCACTGACATTCAGGCCCTGAAGACTGCCTTTGACACCAGTGAGTGCAGCCTTTCCTCTTGTGCAGTCATACAAGTGTCCTCATTTCTAGAATCTGATTAAAGAGAAACTCAAAACCTTCATAAAAACAGAACATATTGATAGTATGACTCAATGATTGCTTTTGTACAGTGTTTAATATTGATTGTATTTACATTCCCTGGTGGTATAATACTACTATAAGGACCATGTGTTATCGTATTACCACAAATAAATCCTTTTAATAATCTTTCTAGAGTGTGAATCAGGTGATCATTACCATGAGTTTGTGAAGATGAGGCATTTCCCTGATGTGAAAATGATTAACCAGGCTCAATAGTTTATACTAACTTGTGCATTTGCGACCAATAAATGCATCTTTTGTGAAGTGGGTGTATTTTGCTGACGGTTACGAGGCGCGGCGACTTCTGCTCGCACCACCAAGGTGTTTCCCCCCATTTATCTTTCGTCACTGCAAACCTGTCTCCCGCAGATAACAAAGATGTGTCGGTGATGATGAGTGAGATGGACGTCAACGCCATCGCGGGGACCTTGAAGCTTTACTTCAGAGAGCTGCCAGAACCGCTCTTCACTGACGAGCTCTACCCTAATTTCGCAGGCGGCATCAGTAAGACGCCGGGCTTGATGTCATTCACGCATGACATCGCTCGTAATCGATTAAGTCGTTAATCAAGCACCGCTGGCTGTTTTAGTTGAGATTGATTGTAGCAGCTGCAACTTCTGCATGTCTGCTAAGAGTTTGCTGTGAAAGAAACAGTCTCCTGATCAGCGGTGTCTCTTCCTTCTGTGCAGCTCTGTCTGATAGCGTCGCCAAAGAGAGCTGCATGCTGAACCTGCTGCTGTCACTGCCAGAGCCCAACCTGGTCACATTCCTTTTCCTTCTGGATCACTTGAAGAGGTACGAGCTCAGTTGTTCGCACACAAGTGTAGAATGTAGATATAAACACACAAAGACACAAAATAAACCTCAGCAACATCAATCCATCAATTTCCAGGAGGTACATTTAAAAGCAGCCAGTTGAAGGTTTAAAATTCATTTTGGTGTCCCAATATTATCAAAATCATCTTTATCCAGAGAGTTGTATCGCTATATCGCTTCGACATATGAGTCTTCAAAATGGTTTACCGATGCTGCTTTTATGCCACGAGGCGTTCAACAGCAAAATGTCCTCCGGTTACCATGGTGACTCTGAAGAGGCTGAAACATTGTATGAGCACTAACAATGCAGATGCATCTGTTTAAAAGCGCTGCGTGAGTGAATAATGGATGGAGCTGGGGGATTTGTTGTTATATTTAATGTATATTTTGAAGCAAAGCTTTGGTTAGTTTGCTATTAGTTGACTTTTTTTTTTTTACTTTTGCTTGATTATAAATCATTTAGTCCAGAAAATAGTAAAAATGTCCTAAAGTCGATAGTTTTTTGGGGGTCCAATCAACATTTCAAAACTGAAATTGATTCATTTAGAAATGATGTAAAATGTAGGAATAAATATCTGCCTTGTTCTGCAAATTAACAGCAGACACAAGGCCCAGTATGGTTTCCGTAAGGTCAATGCAAATATCAATTATTAATAATCAAAGAGCCCAATAACCTGCCTTTAGAACCAATACACAATGCATTTGCAAAAAAAAATAAAAATCTTGGTGTCGAAATTCCAAAGCCTCCAAAAGCTCCAATACGAAACTTCATTAAAAAGCCTTCATTTATTTATGTTTAACATATTTTGATTAAAAATCAACACGTATCCTCCAGCGTCGATAGTCTATTATTCATTACCAATCACGTAATGTGTGGGAGGGACACTGCCAAATGGAGAGTTAGTTCTAATGCAGCTGCCAGAACCCAGATTTAAACTAATTTATTACATCAGGAACCGGCTAAAACAATAATGAAGCCGGTAATCAGAAAAATGCCGAATATCTGATCTGACAATCTGCCGGACCAATCACTGCTGGAGCCCTATGAGGTACTAATGACTGTCAGAGGTTGAGGAGCTTTTGGTCATTCGGAAATTGGAAGCAGCAGGCGTCCACCAAAAGAAGTCCGACATGACTCAACTGAATGCTGCTAAATCTTTCCCTGCACTAACTAAAGAGTTCATGTTGTACTTTTTGGGGTTTGCCCTTTCGTCTAGTGTGTTGTATAACATTTTTGTGCATGTAAACGGTCTACAGACTTCTGAAGCTCATACCAAAGAGAGTTCTCGATATGCATGTGATGCAACTCGATTCTAAAATCTGTTAGGAAACGCCTCATCCGGGTTTTTCTTCCATTACTTGTTGATGCAACACATTTGCGTAACGCCCTCAAACAAAGAATGAACAGCTTCCTCGCTGTCCGCCTTCATTAAAATCGCTTCTGCTGCTCCTACATTTATCTGCCTTTAGTCATAGCACGGGGGGTTATAACCACGTTACCTTGATTACATCATACCAGCTGACCAATCAGAGCAGATTGGGCCTCTCAGGTGGGAGGCCTTAAAGAGACGGGATCTAAAACAGAGCATTTCAGAGAGAGAAAAGGTGCTGCAGCAAATGTACAGCATGAGAAGTTTCTGAACAATGAAGCTAGTAGATCCAAAAAGTAAAGTTCTGAATCTGTAAATGTGCGTAATATGGGCTCTTTCACACCACGCAGCTCCATCACTACACATGAACACCTGCATGTACGTGCTCTGTATGTACTCCATCTGTACCTCTAAATGAACTTGTCTGTGTTCGCCGTCCCAGGGTGGCAGAGAAGGAGTGCATCAACAAGATGTCGCTCCACAATCTGGCAACAGTGTTCGGGCCGACTTTGCTAAGACCCGCTGAGAAGGACAGCAAGATCCCCGCTAACCCCACGCAGCCCATCAGCATGGGGGACAGCTGGTCCCTGGAAGTTATGGCACAGGTGGGCCTTCAGTCTGTTCCCTCCGGCACAGATCACACAAAGAATGTTGCTAATCTGTTTTCGTTCCTTTGCGCTCAGGTCCAGGTGTTGCTGTACTTCCTCCAGCTGGAGACGATCCCCACGCCGGACAGTAAACGACAGAGCATCCTCTTCTCCACCGAAGTATAGAGCTAACGCTGACTCTGTGGGACTTTGACCCGAGAAGGTGTGAAAAAGAGACGGACACTGGCTCAAAGTGAGCCTATTTGTAGTATGTTTTTGAATTGACTGACTCCGTTCGGCTCTTGCGGCTGGGAAGGATTGTCTCCGGCGATACCTGCTGTGCTTGAACACAAGAGGGTGCCACTGGGCCTCCGACGCTCAGAGGATGCGAGGTCCCTGCCATTCATATCTCTCATTACCTGATAGTTAGTATGATTCCTTGTACCTCCGGTGATTTTTATGGGTACATGCGCCATCCACATTTCCCCACCTTGCTTTTCGTCGGTCTCGATGCTGAACCTTTACAGACGAAGACGTTGGAACGATCGAAATCAGACCGCAAAGAAGGAAACGTGTCTCGTCTTGATTCTTGGAAATGGTTTCGCCCACAAATCTCTGCGTATCTTTGCGTTTGGGGCATTGTTCTCTATTTGTGTTTATTTTTGGACAATCATTAAGTCATCTCAAACATTGCTTCACGTCCTGTTGAGGAAAAGAAAAAAACGTGTGTCTTACATCATGTCGGTGCATTCTTTGAGACAAGAGGAAACATTTGTGCTGTGTGTTGGGAGCCGAGAGTGCAGAGCTGCCACCGTACTGGCTTTTTTTTTTTTTTTCTTTTTTCTTTTTCTGTGTCGAAAGAGACACAGGAAGCCAACACCGGTAGGTTAAAGTGTTTACAACGTAAACAAAAGTGTTGACGTGTGTAAAGGAAAAAGAAAAAAGAAAAAAAGGAACCCAGTGATTAGTAAACAGTCTGCGGGTTTTTTTCCAACCATAAATGCAAATGTCCTCCGTTTGTGTCTCAAGATAGTCTTCAGCTCAAATACCCAGGAAGCAATATATTTTCTAACATAGGAACTGTCTGTTGCTGATGAGATGTCCGTCTTATTGTAACATCTTGCCAAATTAATATTTTTTTGTTTGTTTGTTTGTTTGTTTGTTTCTAGGACAAAAGGAAGCCGTTGTATTTACAGATAGACTACATGTACATAATCTTAAAGTTGTATTTTTCTTTTCGGTTAACAGTATAATCATTGTTGCTGTTATTGTAATTTATTTCGGGGGCGGGGAGGGCAGGGGGCCTGGTGGCGAATTTGTTTTTCTATGTGAACTTTTTTGTTTTTTTTTCTGTTTAAGAAAGTGGTAGGTCTTAGCCTTGACTTCAAGTCTTGCAGTAAATAAGCAAGATTTAGCCTTGTTCTAATAGAAACTACTCAGCTGTTCTGTCCAGCCTATCGATGATTCATTTAGATCTTATTATGAAAGGTAACCCACACGTTGTAGTTACATACTGTATGCTGCTGTGGAAAAAAAAAAAAAAAAGGCACAAGCTCTTTAACTGCTGGGGGGGGGTTCCTCGGCAGAACGTCTCCCGTCCAGAGACCATCGCCTGTCTAGCGTAGACATTATGCAATGTCATGATACAGCACACACACACACACATACACACAACACGTATGACATTGTCTCTCTCTGTTTTTGTTTCATCTGTGGCTGCACTCATGTTAGAACTACTGTATTACAATTCAAGTGGCCTGAGCTCTCCGCGTTTCGTGTCCAATGAAGAATATCTTTTGGGTTTTAATGAAGGAACTTTTTTGATTTTTATTTTTTTTATTCTTTTCTCGCACATTGTCTGCAACTCAATGGCCAAGTTAGAGAAGAAGCTCATCTTGTTGATACTAAAATGACATATTTTGGATTTCTGTGTCATCGATTTTAACATGCAGGCGTGTTTTCGTTTCCTTCCCGTTGCTGCTGTCCTGTTGTCATAGAATCGGATTCGGGATGTTCGTGCGGATCTTGTTTACATCGCTAAAGGATGTCCTTTTCTAGTCAATTTAAAGATCGCGACTGGTTTCCCATGTATGTCACAGGCATAAAACTAAAACCAATGCATCTGATAAGGGCTCATGTGTGCTCGTGTCCACGGTGAAGATTGAAGGCATACATGAGAAGACAGAGTTGTTTTTTCGCCTCTCGAAAGGTTCTTGAGGATTTTAAATACATATCAACTCCCTAAATGTTGACTTTACTTCGCCCTCGCAATGTCCCAAAGACAGTTTCGTTGTCGGTTTAGTCTATAGGTTATCAATTAAACATCATTAAAGATTTCACTCATTTTACTGCCATCGTGTACGTCCACTAATCCCGGCCCACTGTAGCACACTCACGCTCCTTCGTCGTCTGTATTTTCGGGTGCGAGACAGAGAATGAATCATTCATCTTATCACCCCACGCGTCACCTTTACAACAAGTCCCGATTGCCTGCACTGCTCTACCCTATCGTGCCTCGACACTTATGCTTTTGTTCAGCGTCTGTGGTACTCTACACGTCGGTGGGAACGCCGACAGTGACGTTCATTCTCCTGTTGCCTTTGCTGAGGACAGCCACGCGTCTTTCATCTCTTACAGACTAAGACAGGACCTTAAACCTTAAGCACGGTCTTAGCTCGTACTCCACATGCCTGTTTCTACTCGCCACCTTCATCTAAATGTGATGCTGTAACTGCGTTAAAGTTGGTCTTATTCGGGGCAGAAATTTCTTTCCCACGTCCTTAAAAGTTTCATCTCCTCTAATGCCTTTTATTTTTATTTATTGATGCTTTCTCCTGGTTCGGTATAAAACGGTCTGCTGGATCTATTTATTTATGATAAAATGTCATGGAAAGCTAATGTGAGTCTGTCTGGTGTGCTTTCTTTGGGAAGTTCCGTCTAACATCTTGTTAAAGCTGCAACGGTTTGTCTCTGTTCCGTCCCAGGATCACGACCAGCGTGTAGAACCGCAAAAATGTCTCTTCGATTCCTGCACCGTCGGCTCGTGTTTCAGTCCTTCGTGTCGTACAACAGACTGGCCACTGTGATTGTTTATCTGACTTAGATAACCGAATAGCAGGTGCAGGTTCTTGTCGATTTAAACGGTAGATTCTGTGAGTAACTCCCAACTTCTCCTCCTTCTCCATAGAGTTGTATAATATGTATGATACTAGAGAATACATAATTTGGTTTCCCTTTTATTTATTGTGGCGTCCACTGATCGTTTTGAGGATTGAGCCGGTGCACCTCTAGTCTCTTTAAAAATCTGAACTGTCGGTATGTGGTAGAGGAGAAAAAAGAGTTTTATATTACTCTGAATCTGCATTGTTTTGGTCTGTTGATTGTCACTGTAATTGCATGTAAACTTCCATAATACAGTTCCCCTCCATAACCTCAGTCCCAGCCAAAAAATGAAAAAAAAAACATTTTCTGTGGAGTAGCCTGAAGATATGGTACATATAACTCTATATGAAATCTCCTGCATTTATTGTACATGACCCTGGTATCTTATCACTACACGTCCACACTACAGGTAATACTTTCAGATGACCCTCTGCTGCCACTTCTCATGCTACCATTAAATTAGGCTACTTTAATCTTTGGGGAATAGTTTTGTTTTATTCAACGTATAACAACGTGAAGCTGAGGACGAGACTTGCTGACCAACCACGAACACGTTCTCTTTTTATCCCTCAACTTTTGACTCTTGTTCCTGTTAAATATTCAATGTTCTGCTTGTAGAACTGTAAAAAGGAATACTGTATTCTGAGGGCAAACATGTTTGGAAGGCATTTGCAGCCTATGTTTGTACACAAAAATGTTAAATAAAATCTCCTGTATCTACATAGAATGAGGAAGCTTTTTTTCTTTTTAAAGCCTGCTGTCTGGGATTTGTCTCCCGCAGTGTTTTTTAACTCTTACCTATAATTCAGTGTGGCAATGTTCATGACATGATGGATTCAGCATAAATACAATCAGCTGTTTGCAAATTAGCACGATTCATTCAATTCATATATTAGCTGGTTAGCAAACTTCATGTAATTGCAGAGTTTTTTTAGGGTTTTTTTAAGAGAATTTTTTTAATTACTTAACTGATATGTATCACTGAAAATGCCCCTTCATTCCTCTAAACCTCAAAACCCACCAGCATGTTTAAAACTTATGTTATTTTTAAAATTCGCCAAAATTTCACCATTTATTAGAGCCAGAAAATTTAAAAATGGAAATAATTGTCACAGTTTTAACTTTCCTACAGTCCTTTCCACCATTCAGTTGTCTATACACATCCATTATCTCTACACCTTAATCCTCACTAGGGTCTTGGGGGGTTGGAGTCTATCCCAGCTGACTCAGGGTGAAGGCAGGTTCACCTGGCCAGGTAACCAGTCTATCACAGGGTTACACTTAGAGACAGACAACCAAGCACACTCACATTCACACCTACAGACAATTTAGAATTACCAACTAACCTGTTTTAGGACCTTGTGGGAGGAAGCCGGAGAACCCGGAGAGAACCCACGCTGCAGAGGGAGAACATGGAGACTCCACGCAGAAAGATCCCGGGTGTCCCCACCGGGACGCAAACCAGCAACCTTCTTGCTGTGAGGCAATGGTACTAACCAACTGCGCCACCTTGCAGCCCGCAGAATTGTGAAATTTTATTTTAATTACTTTAATCTCCATGTTAGAAAATTTGAATAAAATAAATTGTTTGTTCTAAAGAAATTCTGCAAAAACAAAGAAATCTGCGCTGATCTGTTCAAGTCATTACTGCCTGAGCTGTAATCAACTATCACGTGATAAAGATTCAGTGACTTTTCAACTGGACTGCAGGCTCTGACAACATAGATAGGGGCTAAGCATGGAAACAAATGAAAAATGTAAGCAGTAAAACATCTTTTTCTAGTCCTGGGATCACATGTGGGCACTTGGGAAAATGCTGTATTAATAAAAAGTCGCCTTTAGCCTCTTTAATCAGTATTCTAAGATGTACTTTTTACCAACAATAATTTATCTCATCACTAAAAGTTTCTAACTATTCTTAAGGCCAATTCTTAAAAGTTTTTTTTTTTTTTTACATGCCAGTGCTGGTGTTTCATTAAACTGTGACGTCTCTGTGGGTTTCACTGGAATTGGAGATGCACACAACTCGAAAAGCATGCTTTTATCCTCTCTCACTGCATGTTGTGAAACCTTTCAGATGGAGAGCAGCAGCAGGTGACTGAAGAAGACGAACAGCAACTCCCGCTGACTGATCTTAGAGACCACAGGTTCAGATCGTTGCTGACTATTGAGTCAGACACGATGTTTGAAGACACTCGGTGTCTCAGGAAAACCTCAGGAAGCCGCATTTTGCAGATGTAAGTCGCGCTGATGCTGCTCTGCTGTATTTTGAACATTTCTGTTCGTAGCTTCTGAATCTCCAACTTGTCAGGTTAGATCATGTTTAACATAATTATTGGGACATTTATTCCTAAATTTGTCAATGTTGTTATCACATAACTGTCATAATTTAGAGCGAAACCTTGAACGGACAACAGGATGTGACAAATCAAAGCAGGCTCAGTTTTGTGTGTTCTTGTGTTTCTGCACAATTTCTTTCACATCCTGAACCCTGCATGCTCAAAACCGTATTTTCCTTCAACAGGAGACAAATTCTGGGTTTTACAATCTTCCATTTAATACAAAAACATCCCAAACATTTTGTTTGCAAGTGGAGAAGCTTGTTGAGAAGTGACGAGTCATTGGTGTTACTAAAACACATGTAGACTGGCTGGTTGGACTCCTATGTCCCCCTCAACAACAGCAAGTGTAAAGAGCTGGTCCACTGTTTAAGGACCATGATGGAATTAGCGTTGCTTCTCCTGAATTTAAAGTTCAACAAATGGTCAAGGCTATCTTCCAACATAAAGTAAACTTTCCCAGGAAGGCTGAGAAGTGTGATACCCCCATAATTGGAGCTGACTCTCCGGTCCCCCTTTTCAAAAATGACAACCACTGCCTTGGTTTGCCACTCCACAGGCACCGTACCCAGCCAAGACAGTCCAACAATGTCCATAGCCTTCAGCATCTTGGGGCAAATCTCATCCACACCTGGTGCTTTGCCACTGAGGAGTTTCCTAACTTCCCCAGCAACCTCTACTACGGATATGGGCGAAGATTCCCTCAAGTCTTCAGGTTCTGCCTCCTCAGCAGATGACATGTTAACCAGGTGATGGAGTTCCTCAAGGTGCTCTTTCCATTGTTTGACACTGTTCCCAGTTCAGGTCAGCAGTTCTTCCCCGCGACTGTACACAGACTGAACAAAACCTTGCCGAGCCTTCCTGAGGCATCAACTGGTTTGCCAGAACATCCTCTAGGCCAGGGGTGTCCAATCCTGGTCCTCGAGGGCCACAGTCCTGCATGTTTTAGATGTGTCCCTCTTCCAACAGACCTGATTCAAATGATCAGGATCGTTATCAGGATTCTGCAGAGCTTGATGATGAGCTGATCATTTGAATCAGGTCTGTTGGAAGAGGGAAACATCTAAAACATGCAGGACTGTGGCCCTCGAGGATCAGGATTGGACACCCCTGTTCTAGGCCAACTCAAAGTCCTTCTCCACAGCCTCTCTGATCTCCTCCCACACCCAAGTTTTAGCTTCTGCAACTGCTGCAACCACAGCAAACTGAGACCCCCAAGCCAACCAGGCCCAACAAGCCTCCTTCTTCCGCTCGACAGCTTTGGGTTTTTAGGTTGCCACCGCGACAGGCACCAGTTGCCTTCTGGCTGCAGATCCTGATAACCCTGCTACAATGGAGACTTGTAATGTGGCTCACTCAGATTCCATGTCCCCAACTTCTTCCAGGATGCAGGAGAAGCTCTTCTAGAGGTGGAAGTTGAAACCTCCAGAGACAGGGGCCTCTGCCTGACATTCCCAGCTCACCCTCATTGTATGTTTGGGTTTACTTGGTCTGTCCGGGAGCCTTCCCCGGACAGTTAACCCTGAATCCCCATTTGAAGTTTCAGGGTTAACTGACTCAAAGTTTCCACTGGTGTGTTGTTATTCTGTGCTAGTCATAGATTGGCCATAACAAACATGATGTTCAACCATCAAACCTCATTTCAGGAAATGAGGTTTCAGGGTTAACAGACTCAGAGTTCTCACTAAACCTGCTTTGTGAAACAGACCCCTACTTCTCTCTTCACCTAAGCGATTCAGACATATGGCCACAGGTCTGATGACATGACTACAAAGTCAATCATTGACCTTTGGCCTCAGGTGCTCTGGTACCAAGAACACCTGATGGTCGAGCATCGTGTCTGTCATGGCCAACCTATGACGAGCACAGAATAACAACACACCAGTGGGCTTCAGATCAGGCAGGTATTTATTTTCTATTTTCACTTTGAAACACACTGAAGCACAATAGCTGCCCTCTAGGCCAAGCCACAACTAAGATACCTTAAGCATGAGTCTCAGATATAATAACGTGATGGAGCAGCGCCTAGGATGGCACCAGACTGTAATATTTTATGCAAAGTATCTGGAGTGTGGTGCAAATTCCACGGATACACAACAATATGCAACAAAGCCCAGCAGTGTAATTCAGCAGTAAACCTAATCCTTTTATTGACTGTGTGTGTTTTACAAATACTCTAATTTACATAAAACAAAACAATGTTGTAATTATAGTGAGCAGAAGCCTATAAACTAGATTTGATTTTATTTCACTCTCAGGTTTTTTTTCTCTCTCTCATCTGTCTGCCTTCGATTATTTCCGTTCACATGTCACCGTGAGACTTTTCTTCCACCATCATCTCAAATATACTGTTCAGAGGACATTACATTGATTTGCATTCATTTCTTTGACACTTCCTGGGCCCCCATTTACTAAACACCTTACCCCAAACTAAAATCCTCACCATAACATTTAATTATGTGCCTCATGGGGACTTGTCTTGTCCCCCAATAGGAAGCAGCATCCCTTAATGGGACTGTATACAGCATTACGTCCCCACAACATATGCAACTCACGCAGACACACACACGAGAGGCGGCAACGTTGCGGCCGCGCGTTTTCCTGTTGCAGCGCCTCGATGCGCACCTTCAGACTACTTCTGCCAAAGCAAACATGCGCAGCGGTTCCCTCTCAAGTTCACATCTTCTTTTCACTTTTGTTTCTGCTCATTTCGCCACATTAAAGCGCTCTACGTGTGGTAGTTTTCTCCGCCTTTCTTGGCACTGCGAACCAGTGGAGTGATCATCCAAACGCATAGGTTGGGTAGAGAGAGACTGCTGTTTCCATCCTATCGATAAGGTAAGAGAAGGCTAACTGTTTGTCCTCCTGTGTTTTGAATGTGTTGGTTAAGATGTGCACCGTTTTACAATGTGAGCAATTTAGAGTCACAGGTGTTTTCATCGCTTATGGATCAGAGTCTGGATTTTACGCACGAAAGTCTCAATCTATAGCCAGGTTATTCTTTATATGATGAAACTTTCACTGCTGTCTGCATGCTGACTTTTTCTGGCAATGAATTGGTAAAAAAGAAAAGAAAAGAAAAGATGCTTTATGACTAAGCCTATGTTCCTGTTTACATACAGTAAGTGCAGTAGTGTGTGTGTGTGTGTGTGTGTGTGTGTGTGTGTGTGTTCATGTCAGTTTGTGGGGATGATGGATGGAAATGAAAACTTGCTTGAGGGTCAGCACTGGTCATTTCCCATCACTGGGCATGCATTACATCATGTTTACTCTCTGTTGTCCTATCTGTCCCTACTATCAGGGCTTTACAATATGATGCCAGTGCCTCCCTCATTAGTTCCACACACAGAGCTTTTGCCAGTAGTAATACAGCAGCTTTTCTTTCACAATAGCTTTCCTTTTTTTTTGGTTTTCCTTCGACTGTGGCGGAGCTGAGCTGGCACATTGATTGACAGAGCAGTGACAGATCCTCTCCGGCAGGATGTGCATTTCCTTATCACTTCCTCCAAAGCTGCTGCGGGCACATATATCTGTGGTCATAATGATAGTGGGGGTTAGCTTTTTGCCAGAGCAGCCAACTGGAAAAAAGGAGAAGAAAGCTCATTACCAGATAGCTTTTGTTACAAGCTATAAACTTCAGAATTGGGGAAAAGGTGCGTAAGTCCTGTTTTGTTTTTCCACTGTAGCTTTGATGGTTTTGCAGGTTCACAAACTGTTGTAGCCTCATGAGGTGTGCTGCTGTTGGTTTTCAAAGCCCCACACCGGATAAACGGTGGTTTTTAAATTCCTTTGGCTTGTGAGAAAGTTTAAAGAGCTCACCGATAGAGGAAAAGTGGGACTTTGGTCAAATGTGCTGCCTTTTGGGATTACTGCTGGTAAAGCCACATGGTTAAAGTGGTACTTAGTTTTTTCTTTATCTTTATCTGGCTCTTTGTGCATTCTCACGTTAAGAATCTTAACATGTAGTTAATCTCTTTTTACCCTGCACGGGGAAGACGGTGTTTGAGAAGCACTGCCTTAAAATATTTCTAACAATAGGAAATGCCGCTTTAGCAGGTAATCAAGAAATAAATCTAGATGTAAATGAAGTTAACTTATCTTTGAAAGCTGCTCATATTAGCAGGATATTAAAAAGGGAAATTTATGTTTCATTCTCCAGTGTTTCTGTGATTCGATATTACTCAATATTACTAGTGAAATTTACCTAGAACTGAAGCTTCATTTAGATCATTTCTGACAAACCTTATCAACCTAATTGAGAATAAAAGCTACCTTCACTTCAAAATATAGACTCTGACAGGCGTAAACTCTTTGCATATGAAGGCTAATCGGTTCATCAATTCGCTTTGTGTAATTCGTATTAAAAATGAATACCTCTTTTTTTTTAAGCGTTGCATCAAAACTGGGGCACTGATAAGCAACAGTGCACCTGAATGAAGATCAGATTGGGTATTGTGTCAGACACGCTGACGTAACATTCCCAAAATAGGTCCCAACATTGCTCCAGTACTGACCAAATATCCCTTTCGTTGCCTTAGAAAAATGTGTTTGTCGTGCATTCATTCTCGTTGAATCTTATCTTGTCTAATCTTACTCACTGTATAGACCTTGGCGGCAACTGGGTCATATTTACATACCGATGCTTTTACTATGGTGTGTAACTTTCACCGTTAGCATGTGTGCGCCGCCCCTCGGTTCACAGGAGGTGAAGACAGGTTTTATATCTAGATTTTTGTGTTTCTACCATCAGCCTGAGTCCATCTGAACTGATGGAGCCCTCAAGATGTCATCACTGGTGTTATAGCTGAAGCTATGCTGTGTTTTTTAAGTTCCGATTCTAAGTATTTGGACAGTTAGACGTTTTTGTTCTTCGGGTTCTGTGCTTCAACACATGCAGTTTGAAATGGATGCCACATTAGAGTATCAAAGTGGCAAGTCTCAGCTTTAATATGAGTAGATTTGCATCGATATAGGAAGAACTTTGTGAGATATCTATAGCCCGTTCAACACCTTGTGCACAAAATGAAGAAAAAATATATATTTTGTTGAATATCCTTTGTAGGTAATAACTGTCTGAAGTCTTTAACCCACAGGCATCATCAGACACCTCGTCTTTCCCGCTGATGTGTTCCCACATTTTCTCTGCAGCCACCTTTATTTCCTGCTTGTTTTAGAGTCTCTCTGCAAGTGCAAAGCAACCGACTGAGGATGTTCCACCCTTTCATCCTAAAAAACTCTTTGGTTGCCTGGCTGTATGACATCGTTGTCCTACGTTGATGCACACAGAACGCTCTTGCGTATCTCTGCATGTATCCTGTTGCTTCTGTCAGCAGTGAAACCGTTAATAGATGTTCCAGTTGCATCGGCAGCCATAACAGTGTGCTTTGACAGATGAGGTGGTGGTGCTGTGGTTCATGAGACTCTTTCACTTTCCTCTCTCCATCATTCTGATAGTAAATACTTCTCTGCTACACATCTCTATTTTTTTATGTTTAGTTTTTTTGTGAACTACAATCTGGTCTTTCTCTTCCTAGGCCTTACCAGGGTTTAATATCTCCTGCTGCCTCTGTGGTTTTGGTCATAAGGTCTACAATAGTGGACATTTACTTCCTAGAGAGGTTTTTTGACTTGCTGTGTCGTGATTCAGTGGCTTTTCTTTCCCAGTGCAGAAGATTTTCTGGTCATCTACAAATCTTGTGCTCCTTCAGTCTGCCAGACCTGTGGCCTACTTTTTCTCCATTGACTGTATATAGAGCTGGACGAACCCGATGTGTCATCACCCGTATGTTTGTTAAAGAGCAGGTTTGAAGC